GGGTGCTGTCAATCACCGGCTGCTCCCTGGTGACCTCCAGGGTTCACCGAGCTCTGAGGGTGACGCGACGTGGCCCAAAGCGGGGCTTAGAGACTGAGTGTGGAGATGGAGCAGAGAGGCAGCAGCTGCCTGAGTTTATAGAGATGGGGGGTATAGAGGGGTCACAGGAGAAGTGGCAAAGGGGAGAGAGGCTTTTTTCCAAGCCCTTCTCTTCTTGAAGCTCCACAGCCAAACACCTCATCACAATGTCTTGGGGAGCCTGGAAGAGGCACAGCCCTGCTAGCACAAGCCAGGCTGTGGGTGGGCAGGAGAGGGGACATTTCCCAGGGAGGAAATGGCTGTGGAGGTGGGAAATGGGACTCGGTCCTGGGACAAAACATCAGCACAACCCTCCTGAGAGGTTCAGTCCCCAGTGCTGCTGTCCCAGTCTCTGTGCTTCCTGGGAGAACCAGGCACGGGGTGAGTGGCTGGGTCAGGGGGTGCCCCATGGGCTCCCTCCCCTCCATGGGCTCCGTCCCCTCCTGTGCCTGGCACAGCATCCCCAGCACCTCCCCTGGCACCTCATCTTGCTGGCCCGGTACGGGTACATGGGAGCCTCTGGCAGCCCGAGGCACAGCCCGATGGAGCCCAGCTTGGTGGAGATGTTGATGGCTCACACCCTCCTTCTGCTGGAGCGGCAGAAATTCTGCTGCAAGGACAGAGATGCTGCATTAAGATATGGCAAGCCCAAGGCCATGTGATGTGCCGGGCATGCAGGTGCCCATCCTTCTGCCAGGAGACTGCATCCACTATGATTGCTTCCCTCCATGGGTGCTTTGTTTCCCTTGACAATCAGGGTACAGACATTGGCTTGGAGTAGGCAAGAACAAAGCAGAGAGTGTCTGTTCAAGGCCATGTGCGGAATGTCCTGGCTCAGGGGACCCGAGAACAGGCATGAGATCAGCTTGTTCCCAGAGCTCTGTGTGTCTAATGAGGAAAGCCCTTTTTGTGAGCCCACGTGAGCCATGGCACTTCCCCCATCCCTTCTACATGCTGCTCCCTCCGTCACCCACAACATCCTCTCGTATCTTATGGCAGCACGTTTCCCAGGGACAGCGGAATTTGCCATAGAGCACCAACCGGTTTTTGCCTTTTGGAAACAAGGACAGGCTCCCAGCCAGGGGCTGAGTCGTGGAATTTGAAGGGCTGGAGCAGTTGCTCTTCCTGCAGCCAAGGGTTGGCGTAAACACTGAGTGGGTGTGGTGTGCATGGGACACGCTATAAAAAAACTTTAGAGAGCTGAGTAAACAGAAGGAGCAGAGGAGGGCTGGCAGCATGGGAGAGCTGCGTGCCCGCTCCGTTCTGGTGACTGGGGCCAACCGGGGCATCGGCCTGGGATTTGTCCAGCATTTTCTGAAGATGCCAAATCCACCCCAGTGGATCTTTGCGACCTGTCGGGACCCCAAGGGACAGCGAGCACAGGTGAGGCTGGGCTGGGAGGCAGTGACTGTGCTGGGAGATGGGAGCACTCA